AATGAAGACGGATTGACAGAGATGGACATGTGGCATGACTTCGAAGTAGTGGCATTGTGTGTAATTTTGATATTTTTAAATTACATAATTGTGTCTTAAAATGAAAGCTTCCTATTATTAATTGAATCTATTAATTACTTTTAATTCATTATTATATTATGTCTCTGACCGGATGAGTGCTCTTTTGGGATCTGGATCCTCTACTCCTGGGGATGAGAGTCAGGTACCTACCTAGAAAATCAGAAGATGTGTCAGATATGGAGAACAAAAGTAAAGCAGATCATGACAAATAAATCATAGTAGAAGATCTAAATCCCATGGCAGAGAAAATCAAAGTAGAGGATATGGATCTTGGGGATGAGAATCATGTACCTACATAATAAATTAGAAGAAAAACAGGATCCAGATCCTTTGCTTTGATTTTCTCTACTATGATCTACTTGACTTTCACTCCTCATAAGCCACGTCATTTAAATTTCAATCCAAAGAATTTAAAGTTGACACATCACTTTTAATACAAAAACTCAAATTTTCTATAATTAAAAAACAAAATAGATTTCCTAATTAAAACATGAAATTTGTGTAAGTATTGTCACAGATAAGAACTACATTTGTCACATAGTGGCATGTAATGAAGAAATTGATGTGGAACGTGACAAATTTTAATATTTCCAAAAGGGTTTAAAAAATGGAAACATTTAAAAGATTGAGACTAAGTGTTGAGGCCCAAAAAATCTACAGTTGGCCCCGAATATATTCCTGGCCCAATGCGATACTTTGCCGATAAGAAACCCGATTTGGGCATGCGAAAATTCGTCATGCATGCTTGCATGAGCCACGACCACGTGTCATACCAAATAAATATGCAATCCGCCACATTATAGCCTATAAAATGCACTGGCTCTACGAACCTAAGCTAATTATCCAATCAAGCATTATATCCCTTTTCAAGGACGACAAAATTAAAGCACGCCGATTGTCATGCCATGCCAAGTTGGAAATTATTATTTCACACCCAACCACGCTACAAGCTTAAGTGGGCCCAAGCCACGTAATTACCTGGGGCTTACTTGAGTGGGTTGTGATATGGATGGTAACAAGCTTTCAGGAGGCCCATTGATGAGCCGAGAAATGGAAGTTTTGGACTGCTTGGGAGCCCTAAAACTCAAGCCCATTTCTTGAGCCCAAATATGTGGGTAAGCATAAAGGAGAGAAAAAATCTCAATACTCTAGAAGAGATGACCAAATATCTTAGGAAAAGCCTAGACTAGTACCTAATAAAATATCTAGCATGACAACCCTTGCCAAAGCTTCATAGCAGAGTCAATATGAAGCCATCGTAAAACCAAAGGGAATTCGTAAGTTTAGGAGGAATACCCATTAGGCAAAAGCTGTATCCATTATTCTTTCCTCTGTGAGCTCTAATAGGGAAACCAAGAAGAAAAGCAGGTGGCGCCTTATCCCTATGGGAAGGTCTAGCCTCACAAAAACCTTGGAACCCCAAAGAGCCTATGACCCATCCGCTCTGGTTAAAGAAATTTCACCAAAAAGGATTGAATGGAAAGAAGCAAAGGAAAAGTGGGAATGAAGGATTGATAGAATTAGGGTTCTAAGTGCCTATAAAAGAGAGCTCCCTCTACCCAGCAAAAACCATCATCTAGAGTGCGACCAAGCTTTGTTCAGCAACTAGAAATTTACTCAAACCACACCCACTACTTCACCACTAGCTATAACAAACATTCAGAGAGCAAGCTTCACCTCTCATATCTGAAACCTCTGCAATTTTGTGTCATATTCCTCCATCTCCTTCCCTTTTCTCTTCTGTTAAAAAGTTCCAGAGCTTGACAGATTTTTTGTCAAGCTGCCGGAAACTACTCAACACACCCATCATACCCTCATCTCTCTCTCTCTTCAACAAACCCTCTTAGAATCCATTCTCCCTTGTTTTAAAACCCCTGTTTCTCATAGGAATTCACAGCTTTCCCTTTGTTTATGCTAAACTCATGATGGTTTTGCTCCCATGCCACAAACTTCTCATGTCAAGCTAAGAATCTACCTATAAGCGATTATTAGTTTTGCTGGTGAAGGTAACCAATGTGCTTCCTAAGGCTCAGCTACCATTTCGAAGCATTCTCGGAGCCTAATTCTTGAACTCATACACATGGGGTAATTTCACATGTTTCTCTTTTCGACAGCCCAAGCCCATTCGTCAGGCTGTTGAAATAAAAAGACCCTTACACTAAGCTAAAATAAGATTCATAATTTATGGGTTTTATGATCCATAATCTATCATAAATGTTTTTTCATCAGTTGTTTTTTATTATCTTCTTATCAATCAAACAAAAGAAGGGTTAAATATTTGAAAGTTCCTTAATGCCCTTGAGAAATAAATGTACTAAAAGATAGGCTAAATTGTAGCAATGGTCCCTGGACTAAGCCCCAACTTTACTTTTCGTCCTTTACATTGTTAAACTGTTGCAGTGGTACTTTAATTAGATCTCATATTGCATAATTGGTCTTTCCGTCAATTTAGTTAAATTTTCTGTCAAAATTAAGGGCAACTTGAGAAATTCATAATTTTTTTTTTCTTTCTCTCCCACCCCCCACTTCCCCCAACCCCAACACCCATGAATTATGGAATTGAAACAGATAAATTGGGTAGAAATGCTTGTTTCATTGAAGGGGGAATAGTAAGAGTATTGGTATAAGAGGTATGGAAAATTGGGCTTCTTTGTGGCTAGACCCTTTCTCATTCTCATTGGAAAATTGGAATGGACCCTTCTTTGTGGCTTCATTCAAATGGG